GCGAGGAGGGGGGGATTGGTGGTCACAGGTGCTGCAAAATCGGTATGACGGCATCGGGGCAGCCAGCCACCGGACTGGCCGATGTAGCCAGCAGTGCAGCACAGCGCGGTCTTCACACTCGAAGGTGTCAGGGCGGAGGTCATTGATGTGCAAAGAGGGTGAACTCACAATGGCCAGGAGGGTGTTGAGGTCAAACGGCACATCGATGCCGAACCAGGTGGCGTTGCCGCCGTTCACGGCCTGGGAGCGAGGGGGGGGCAGCCCAGTGTGAGTGGTGAGAAGGGGTACCACAAGACAGGCGGGCGCAAGTGCGCCGGAGTCGCGGCCGGCGGCAATTCACAAAGTCTGGGCGGGATGGTGCCGCCGCCCCGTGCGTGGCTGCGCAGATGGCTGGGTGGCCGGCCACGACGCTGAGCAGGCGCTGTGTCTACCATCCCCCCCCCCCTCGCCTCACAGCCGCCCTGACAGCTTTCCAGCCATCTGCCGGGCTCCGACTGCCCGCCTTCCACTGGAGCCGGCCTGCCCCACACGACAGCAGCACGACCCCACAGCCAGCAGCACCGCCACCGTCACCACCCCACCCGAGCCCCTCACCCAGAGGGGGGCGTCGAACCAGTTGCCGAAGCCCAGCAGCTCAACAGCCAGGGCGCCGGCCACGCCGAGCATCGCCCAGCGGCCGTGGATCACCTCAGACTCGGTGAAGCGGGCCAGAGAGGCGGGGTCCTTGGCCTGCGGGGGGCGGGGATCAAGGTGTGCACTCACGGTCAGGGAGGGTGGTTCACAAAGAGAGGTGACCACACAGTCCAAGACCCGCGCGTCAACTGAGTGCTCCGCAGCAGAGCTGCGTTTCTTGGATTGCAGGCTGGCTGGCTAGAAGCATGTATCTCGCTGCGGCTGAGGGCTGCCGCGAGATCGCGATCTGCTAGATTAGTCACGGGATCACGCACCAGGCCGAGGGGGTCGAAGCCGAAGTTGCTGCGGGTGGGCAAGATGGCAGGGTGCGCGTGGGTGATTGATGTCTGTTAGATGTTACTTTGGAGTTCCGAAGTTCTCTGGGCGTGCGTTGCCAATGCATCAGTGGAGCGCCGCAGCTGCGTCCCCACCCCCTGGGAAGCTGCCGCTGCGAACAAAAAACGAGTCGCGCGCACTCGCGCGCCAATTGCTGCGCTCACCCGGGCAGGCTGTCGGGCAGCCACTCGGGGGCAGCGGAGCCGGGGAGCCAGTTGCCGGCGCGGGCCTAGGCGCAATACGCCCAGGGGTTGGGGATGGTAGGGGGTGTTGGCAAGGGATCAGGCATTGCGCCGCTGGGTGCCCTGGATCTGGTGGCTGTGCACGCCCATTGAAGATCCGCCCGCTCCACGGATGTACTAGCATTGTATTGGAGACGCAGGGCTGGCAAACGGGCTCCTGAGCTCCGTTGCATGAGGCTTCACCCCGAGCCCGGACACGACCTCTGCTCCGGCACGCCCTGCCCCGCACCTGAGCGCGGACCACGCGGGCGCGAGACACGCGGGCCGAGACGCCGCGGGTCTGCTTGGCCACCTGGGTGGCGCGAGTCTGGCAAGCGAGGGCCATCTCTGCTGTGTGTTGGGTGAGCTCGGCGTGTGCCGGAGGTGTAGATGGATGATGAGATGTGAGGGGTGTGGCGTTTGAAACAAGCTCCCACCAACCTTGAAGTAATCCAGGCCCCCTCGAGTTGGATCTCCGCCCGCCTGGCTCCTGGGTTTCACCGACGACCAACTCGCCAGACCCCGGTAAGCGGCGTGTTCATAGCCTTTCAAAGCTTGTAAACTCAATGGGACCAAGCGGGCTGTGGAGCGGCTTGGAACGTTGCGCGCATGCCCAGAGGGCTCGGTTGTGCTCACGCGCCCAGGCCGCCGTCCGGCCCAGCACAGCATCGCAATCAACACCAGCGCAAGCCCGACGCTTCCTCGCGTTGTCATACTGCCCTATGCTCGACTCTGTTTTGTATATTTTGCGGCGTCAGTCGCTGAACCAGCGGCGTTGATGCGCCCTTCCTTGGATATTTGCCAGCCGGCCACGGGCTTGCCCGCAGCCGCGCCGCTCGGTGAAGAGGCGCCCACGCGCCGCGGCCCCCTCGAATCTCTTCAGGAGATCTCATGCTCTCATGCCGGCTTACTCTCAGGTCAGTCAGGCGTGGCTTGCCCTATCGCACCGGCCAGCCCGCCCACCCCTGGCAGCTTATTCTGAGAAATCCCAAGCAGGCGGGTGAACACTACACTACGGCCCCTCCCCAGCATCCCTCTCCACACGCCGCTGGCCCACACTCGCCCCCTGCCCCTGCAGCAGCGACGCCGTCTGCCCCCCCTCCCAGACCCCAGCAGCCCAACACCGCCACGCTGCAAACGGTTACACCACAGGGGCGCCCCGGCCCGCGCACCGTGCGCCGCCCCAGCCCCTGTAAAGCTCGCCGCTCTGCGCCGCCGCCCCCGCCGCTGACGAGCTGTCACCCCCGGTCACCCCTGCCCCGCCGCGACGGCCATAATGTCAAACGGCTTGTACTTCGCCTTGAACCGCTCCGCCTCCGCCTCCTCCTCCGCCGCGCTGCCCTTGCTGCACTGCCGCCAGTCCGCGCGGTCCGGCGCGCCCGCCAGTCCGGCGAGGATTTGGCGCCCGAGGTGCATAGGGAAGCGCTCCCCCCGCCGGATGGGGCGGATGACGGCGCCGCCATCAGGCAGCAGGCCGAGGAAGTACTCGCCGCCGCCAGACAGCCGCTGCAGCGCCGCGCTGCGGTGTGTGTGTGTGCGACATGTGTGTGTGTGTGTGTGTGTGTGTGTCTGTGTGTGTGTGTGTGTTGTCAGAGAGTGTATGTGCGTGTGCGTGTGCGTGTGTGTGTGTGTGTGTGTGTGTGTGTGTGTGTGTGCGTGCGTGCGTGTCAGAGAGTGTGTGTGTGGAGGGCTGAGGCTCGGTGGCGCGCTGAGCAGACGTTCGAGTCCGCCTCACTCGCACGCGGCGCGGTCAACGATTGGGCACGCTGCGCCTGGGACGAGCGCGGGGTCGCAGAGCGCGCGCAGCTGCCGCCGCCTTGGCCCCTTGGTGGCCGATCAGGCCCGGCCGCCTTCACAGCTCGCGTGCACCACGCGCTGACTGTCGATGCAGCCTCCACCCACGCACCCGCGCACACCCACACCCACACCTACATATACACACACACACACGCACACACACACACACACTCACACATGCACTCACACACACATCAACGCCACCACCCAACTCCACCCCGCCCAACTCACGTGTCCAGCTGCCCGCCCTTCGCCGGCACGTGCGCCACCTCGAACCCCGCCTCCGCCGCCTGCCTCTCAAAAGCCTCCCGCGCGCCCGCCGCCGCCTCGGGGCTCACGCCCACCACGTTCACGTGGCAGTGGTTGCCCCCCTTGCCCCTCAGCGCCAGGTGGCGCTCAAAACCGACCAGCCGCTTCCCGTCCGCCGCAAACGCGGCCCGCAGGGAGGACAGGTACCGCGCCACTTCGTCGGCGCCGGCCGGCGGCAGCGACAGCATCGACGGGTAGTGCTCTATCGGGACGACGAGGACGTGATCCGGCGTGATCTGGCCCTTGTCCAAGGCTACGTACGTCTCGTCGCCGACGCTGGCGACGAGGGAGACGTCGACGGACTCGGAAGACAGGCAGAACCAGCAGCCGTCGACGGGCTGGGCGGGGGGCGCGGCGTGCTGCTGCGCGCGGGTGCTGCTGCCTGCGTTGGCGAGGCCAGGGCGTCGAGCAGGGAAGCAGGCAGTGTTTTAATTCCGGGGGCTTGAATGAATTTTCCTTATTCACATGAGGCCGTGCTGACGGTGCGAACCCGCGAGGGCGTCCCCTGAAGGCTCGGGAGACCCCAGCGCCGCCGATCGCATCACGTAAGAACGCACGCCTCCGCTTGGCAGGCAGCATCGGCAGCACAGGCAGCGCCCGCTTCAGCAGCCCCCCACATCCCCCTTCCCAGCCCATCTGCCCCACAACAAAGGAAGGCAGCAGCCCCCCTCCCTCCGCCTTGCAACCAGCCGCCACGCGGCCGCGCGCACCCTGCACCGCGGGCGCCACCCCGAGCGGCCGCCCCAGCAGCTCCCCGCCGTCCAGCTGCAGCGCGCGCGCCACCGCCTCGCCGCAGTCAAACTGGACGTGCGCCCAGCTCTTGGGGCGGCCTTGGTCGTCAACGCCGCGGCGCACGTCCACCACCTGGCGGGCGGAGGGTGGGGTGTGGTGCGGGGTAGTTGTCGGGCGAAGCTGGTTGTCATGTGAGTGTGGATTATATTGGTGGATCAGCTGCTGCTTTGCTGCCTCAACGAAAACGGAGGTATGCTTTGATGTGATGGCGGGGCTGGACAGAACGCGGTCGCTCTGCGGGGCAGGGGCGCCTGACTGACCGGCGCGCCTCCGCCCGGGGCTAAAGGGGTTCGGCGGGCGCCGTGGCCGCGGCGGCTACCCTGCCGCGAGGCAGCGCCCTGCAGTCCCACAGGGAGCAGACCGCAACCGGACTGCGCCGCGCAACCCGCCCGCACAGCGCGCTGGCCCCCTCCTGCTGGCCCTTCATCCCCGTGCGCGGCGCCGGCGCGAATGCAGCTCCCTGCGGGGGCTCTCCACGCGCGTACGCGGCCCACCTTGCCGGCTTTCAGGAAGAACCCCTCCACGTCCGCCATCGTGGCAGAAAACGGGATGTTCTTGACGTACACCGTCGCCGCGTTGTCCTTTGTCACGCCCGCGTTGCCCCAGGCCGTCGCCGGCGCGGCCGGCGGCTGCCCTGGTTGCCCCTGCTGCTGCTTGTCGCCGCGGGGCCGCTTATTTGTGGCGGCCCAACGGTAGCTCTGCCCGAGGTCGTCCTGCGGGGCGCGGAAGTCGGGGGGCCAGGACGGAGCCGGAGGCAGTGAGTACTCGAGCAAAAGGGGCTTTGTAGGGTTTCCAACCCCCACATCGTTCCGCGCTTCAGTGATTGTGGTGCTGCGATTCGGCTGCTGATGGCTGCGATCAGACAGCCAGGCCCCTCCACTGCCAATGCAGGGACGGCCGTGGGCGACACAACATTGGCCTGGTCTGCCATAAATGTAGGAAGCTCTCGGCGCCAACAGGGGGACTGAGCGGCGAAGTGAAGCAGGCACACGCTCCCCCACCCCCGGCCCACACGCCTCCCCCCTCTCACCGCCGGCGCCTCCGCCGGACGCTTGCCGCCGGGCTTTTCCGAGAACGGGCAGCCCGTCGCGCCCTCGGGCACCGCAGACAGCTGCTCCGGCGTCTGCCGCGCCGCGGGCACCAGCGCGAGCGCGTGCAGGAACTTCTGCTTGCCCGCGTTGCCGACGTGCGCGAGACCCACGAACCGCGTGGCCCGCGGGCCGGCCCCGAGGTCGGGGTTTGTGTAAGGCGGGCGCGCATAGAACACGCCCTGCCCGCCGGCGACGTGGTAGCGGGGCCGCGCGAGGGCGGCCAGCTCCGCAGATGCAGACGAGCAGGCCGCGGGCTGCATGCCTGCGGGAGTCGGGGGCGGCCGTGGTTCGTGGGCGGCGCTTGGGGGGGCTGCGGGCAGGGTCAGCGGTTTGTCAAGACGCCCCCAACAGCACAGGTATGTCCCCTCAGCCCGTTCCCCGATCGCCGCGCAGGCCCGTCAGCATGCTACCAGCGGACGCAGCGCTGCGACCTGCCTGCCCCCCGCAAGCAGCTGGTGCACTCTTGTGGGGGGGGGCAGCGCGAGGGGCTCTGCCCACCAGCAACAGCGGCCTGGTCTGGCGGCAGCCCGGCCAGCAGCCCCTCGGGCCACTCGCAGGTCAGCAGCAGATCCACGTCCCCCGCGAGATCCCTGAGGTCCCGCTTGACCGCCCCCAGATCTTCCGGCGTGTAGTGGGGGCACGACGCGCCGCCAGGCGGCGCCGCCGCGGCGGCGGCGCCGTCGGCGCCGGGCGCGGCGGGGGGCGGGCGGCGGCCGTCAAGGAAGGCAATGTTGAGGCCGCCCTGCTCGACCTGCGGGGGTCGACGGCGCGGCGGCGGCGGTGCAGCGGCTGCTGGTCGAGTGTTCCCTCGTCTCCCTCACGTCGGCCTGGCCGCTGCCCACACCTGCTGACCCCTGGCCGCACTGAAACCCGCCCCCGCTCCCGCGCAGCTGTTGAGCCTGTTCAGGCAAAGGGCGTCCCCCCGCGCGGCCCCTCGCCGCGGCCGCACCCACCACGCCGGCGCGACCGAGGTACTTGATGCCGCACGCGTCCCCGGCCGCCCGCGCCGCCTGCATGCCCGCGCCGCTGCCCTGGCCTGCGGCGTGCGGGGCGCACGAGCGGCAAGCGGGCGAGCGAGCGCAGCGGTTGCTGTTGCGGCGGCGCAGCCGCATGCCGTGTCCAATCGATGGCGAGCCAGCCGCCAAGTTGCATGTTGGGTTCAACGTGTCGCCTCTGGGGGCGTGGCAGCTCGGGCCACGCTGAAGCGCCGTGCCTCTTTCATCGGCGGCGGAGCGCCGTGCTGGTGGGGTACCCACCGTACGCGCCGATAAAGTACGTGGGTATAGGAGGCTTGGTCTCTCCTGACAGGTATGGCTGCATGTCTGCTGGCGGCTGGGCGTCAGGCTCGTCGCCTGCAATGATGCGCGGCGCGAGGAGCTTGGCCGGCTGCGATTTGCAGCGCAGCATGCAGTGGAACCCATCACCATTGGCCATTGCCCCGTGAGGCGCTTCCGCCCCTTACCTCCCGGAGTAAAGAAGCCTCCGACGCATATTAACATGTCGAAAGGCCCACTTTTGCTGTTGACGGCCACCACCCGCTTCATGAGCGCCGACAGCGAACCGCCCACGTCGCCAGCAAGCAATATTTTCACTGGCTTTTCCATTGAAACCATAAGCAGCCCCGGCTGGGTGGCGCAACAGATCACTGCAGTGACATGCGATCGATGGCTCATTTACTGTGTACTGTGTGTTCACTTGGCAATGTAGGACATGATGGGTGCGCCTCAGGTGTTTCTCGATTCCATGTCAGGATATGAACACGCGGTTGTGCAGCAGCATGCAAGTTGTCAATGAGTCAATGCGTGCCTCCGCTGCCCGTGCCCAGCCTGTGCAGCAGGCCCCCGGCAACGAGACCCATGTCCGTCGGCGTGCAATTTTGGTTGCTTACACTAAGCTGGACTGCCGCGAAACCTATGTATGCATCCCAAGAGTGTCCGTGCGTGCTGTGTGCTGCGCTGCTCCGCACAAAACTCCCCACTTGATACCCCCCCAATAAAACAGAAGTTGACTTATTCCCGCCGACAGGAGACAGGTGGGCGAAATACATGACAACGGCCAGGAAAACAAGAAGGTCCCCATCATCGCGTCTGCGGACATCGACGCCAGGTCCTGGTTCTGATGCATGACGTGCTGCGACAGTGCAGCAAGCGAGATCTACAGAGACTCTCCATCTGTATGCTTTTTACACATGACCACAAAGGATAGTCAAGCTCCCAGTCCACACTTGTAGTGGTGGCGCAGATCAACGGCACTTGCATGGTGTGCCCCATTGTGCAGGGCGCCAGCCTTGAGAACGGGTAAGGTTGATCTCAGTTAAAGTCATGATGTGAATTGATCACAATTGCCACCAGGGTAGATATAGCTCTGCAGCAGCTGCCTTGACGGACTCGTGCCTTGCGGCCTGGCTCAAGTGCACCTCAGTCTCAAGTGCTGACCCACACCTGCATGCAGCGAATGCCTGGAGTTTTGCTGTTATGTGGTCTCGCACAATCTTGTCGGCTGCTGGCATACCTGGAAGCCCTGTACATATCCACAGCATGCTGGCAGCAGGCAAGAACTACGGGCGAGCTGCGTCATGGTGGCGGTCAACACGTTGACTCCGGATCGACTGCCAGCGCCCCTCAAGGCCCAAGAGCAGTATTTCCACAGTGTGTAGGGTCGGATACATGCGTCTTCTTTCCATCCGTGACAGCAACATCCACCCCACCCGCCTGCACCATGCGCGACGCGCTGCTTCGCACCATGTGCTGGTAGCTGTTCATATTTCATACCAGGCGCGCCTGGACAGATCGCGACTCCCGCGCTACTGTATTCAGTTGCTTTCAAGGCCGATCACCACCATTTGCATCCGCAGACTGGACTTTATCATCACGAACCGCGGGGCAGCACACACCGACAACACTCAGCGGCAGACCAGCCCCACAGCAGGGCGCGCCCGCCCTTGGGCGTGCTGGGTCATCGGCTTATTATAGCACATAGGATCGATGCAGCGGCGAGGCCACGCAGGCATGCGGGCCCTAGTTCTCGCCCTGGTCGCTGCTGCAGTGGTTCTTTCGCTGGCGGGGTCTGTGGCAGCCGCGAAGGACACCTCAGAGTATGGCGGCTATGATTCTTACTATGATGACAAGTCTTCGGTGAAGGACGACGAGTTCGGGTGAGTTGCGAGCTTGTTTTGTTGTCGAGGGCGGGTGTTCGGTGTGTCCTACTGTGTGCTGATGAGGCTGATTTAGTTGATGGAAAGCTCTTTTCCTGCCAACGGATCAACAACAGCCGGAAGCAGCTCGGCGCGACCAGCAGGCGCTGCGTGTGCACGCGCCGCTGCTCACTGCGCGCTGCGCCCTTGTGCTGCAGTTGGCAGCAGGCGGTCGTCACTGCAGCGGGCATTTGAAAGCGTTGCGAGCAAAATGCCGCAGGAACACTACAAGCAAGCGGGCCGCTCGCTTAGTCCTGCGCCCTGCAGCGGAATAGGGGGGCGGCGGTTGGCGGCCACCAGCCAGCAGCAGGGGCCGAGAGCCGGCCTGCTGACCGCGCGCGCGCCCCCGCGTCCTGGCCGCCTGGCGCGCCCGCAGGTACTATGGCAATGATGACGCCTCGTATTATGATGAATACGGTCATTACGCCGACGACGCATTCGGCTACGACGATTATTACGACGATATCGACAAGCCCAAGGCCCCCCAGCCCAAGGCCGCCAACGGCACCGCAGCGGCGCCCGCGCCCGCGCCGGCCCCCGCGCGCCCGCCGCTGCAGGACTGCGTGCTGCAGGGCGGCAAGCCGAAGCTGTCCAACGGCACGGCGCCGTGCGCGATCTCGATCAAGGGGGTGAACGCAAAGGCCGACCTCCTTCGGGGCGGCATCGACGGTGTGTACAAGCTCTCGACCTGCTACCAGGGGCGCGCGATGTACGTCCGGGAAAAGAGCCCGAAGGGCGAGGACCGCGTGCTGTGGTACAACCCCCAGTTCGGCGACTGGGACATATCCAACGGCACCAAGCCCGATGAGAACGACATCCTCATGTACGGCGGCGACATGGAGCACGCGGTCGTGCCGCTGTTCGTCACCGGGTGGCACCTCGGGGCCGATTTGAATTCCGACCCGAGCGGCATGGGGGACGAGGAGTACTTCCCGGTCGAGGCGAAGGTGGCGTGCGCGGACGGCAAAGTGTACGAGGAGCCCGAGCACAACGCGGCGCTCGAGAAGGCGGGGCCGATCTTGACGGACGAGGAGATAGAGGCGAAGTACCGCCTCGTGTACGAGAAGTACGGGCGGCGGCCGGAGCCCAACCCGACGGTTAATCTGTCGTTCATAGTGCTGCTCGTGCTGATCGGGCTCACCACCATCCTGGCCATCCCCTACCTGCTTGTATACCAGCGGGACGCCAAGGGCAAGGGCTACCAGCCGGTCGCAACTACCAGCTTCGCCCAGATCATCCAGCAGAGCAAAAAGAAGCAGAGCGGGCACATCAACTAGCCGCGCCCTTGTGCAGGCGAGAGCACGCTGCGTAGGGGCCGCGAGGCGAGCGCCGGCGGCCGCGCGACTGGTCTGTGCGCTTGGCGGCTGCGATTTTGCCCCCTGGCTCGTGCGCCCCCGCCCCGGTAGTTTGTCTTTCTTTGCACCATTTCAATCTTCTAATTGTGGGCGGCGGCAATGTGTGCGGCACGATGTTATTGTAGGTGCGCCCCCGTAATAGGCCCCCGTCTCCGTTTTGCATCTTCCAACCCTCTGCCTCAAGCACGCGGCATGGCAGGCGGGCAGCCGCCGCAACACATATTATGCGCGCTGACCCATGCGTGTGCCCGTGCAATAGCATACGCCATGTGCAAACAGCCCGGCGTGCGACTGGTCAAGCGATTGGGCATCGGTGCGCTGGCGATCAGCAGCAGGACGCTGTGGGGGAGGGGGATGGCAGGCGGGGCCTGCTGTGGCCTGTGATTGGTTGCAGGTGTCACAGCAGCCAAAAATGAGCAGGGCTTGGGCCTGTCAGGTGCACCGTTGAGGCAGAGGGTGCCAGGACACTGGGGTGGGTGGGTGGGAAGATGGGCTCACCTGACGCTATGGTGCACCAGTGGGAGTGCCAAGTTTGGCAAACTAAGGGTCTGCAGGCACACTTTCTTGCGTACTTGTGAGGCCTCGGTTGGGGCTGGGGATGAGCATCTGTGTGCATAGCAACAAGTTCATCATTTCCCAGAGGCTGCTTGGTGAGCAGCTGCAAGTGCAGCTGCCCAGATGTTCTGTGCCTGTGGCAGCTGAGGCCTGCGCTCAGGCATTGCAATAAAAACAAGATTTGAAAACATCACAAGCTCTGCGACTTCGAGTTGCACGCTCTACACACCACTCAGTGTCAGCTCGACCTGGCTCTTGGCACGATGTCGTCCATCCCCGTCTGCACAGCTGAAAACCCCGATACAGACCCCGTTTACCCTGTACCTCTGGCGGAGGTGAGCTGGAGGCGAAGCCTCTGCGCTTCCGCCGGGTGCACCAGCGCCGCGAACATGAACCTGCGCACCTTCCTCGCGCTCGAGCCAAATGAAAAGACCAACAGCCGCTAGCCGCGGCCACCGAACCCCCTTGTGCACACACATCGTCCAAAGCTGACGCCCTGCCGTGCCCGGCCCTCCGCGCGTCCCCTCGCCACCCATCCCCGCACGTGCGCCAGCTGGACGACGAACATGCGCGCTTTCGCGAGCGCCAGCAGGAAAAGCAGCGCCGCCTGCACGCGATGTGGATCTGGCAGGAGAAGCTCCGTGTTCAGCAGCTTCTGGCCCTCGGCGACGGCTGGTACAAGAGCCCCCTAGCGGCGCGCGGGGGCCGCCCGACCGGCGGTGAGCGCTCCCAGCCGCAGGCGGCTGCGGGCGAGGGCGGCGCGCCGGCGCAGCCGCATATGCCTGCGTTTGATGAGTATGGACAGCGCGAGTTTGTGGCTTTGGAGTTCAACGCATTATCGGGGCGGATGGAGGAGGTACAATACTTTGAAGACGCCAACCTGGGTGTCAAGAGGCTCTCCCCGCGGCAGGTGGGCTAGGGAAGGATTGCGGATTGGGGGTGCGGATGCGGTTGCCACCACGCACACACAAACGCATGCTTGCATCAGTGCTTGTCCCCAACTAAGCACGCGCCTGCACGCATGCGCGCACGTGCACACGCACACGCGAGCGTGCGCGCGCGCACACACACACACACACACGCACACACATACACACACACACACACACACACGTGAGGGCACCTTTGACCAGCATACACAACCGTACATCCCAGCACGCGCACCTTCAAAACACACAGCCGCTCTATCAAACGCTCCCGCCATCGCAGAATCGACCCCGCCCGCATGCAACCGTGCCTCCAGCAAGGTGCTCCTTGCTCTGACATAACGGTCCCCTTTGACAACCTTGTGCCATTCTCCCTGCCGCGTCCGCAGCCGTGCCAGTGCGCCACCTGCAAGCGCGAGCGCGTCATCAACCAGCTGTGGCTGGGGATCGAGGAGATCAGGGGGTCCCCGCCAGGGCGCAGTGGCGAAGAAAGGGGCCCCTGGCTCGTGCGGGACGAGCCGACGCGCCGGCTGGCGGCGGGCCTCCGCAGCAAGGCCGCCGAGGCGGCAGCGGCGGCCGAGCGCGCCAAGCAGCGGTCGTGGTGGGCGCGCGTCGCGGCGCGCGCGCGTGTCGGCCGGCGACACGTGTTGGGCGGCACCTCCCTTGACACAAGCAGGGGGCAGGTGCGCGGCACGCAGACTGGACAATGATCAGAGCCAGTTGTGTCTATGTTGTGTGTCGCGGTGTCCTTGCTATTCATCAGCTGCAAAAGCTTTGCAGCCCTTCCCTGCTTCATGATGCCCCGTTCCCCTTATTGCCGTGTGCATGTGGGATCAAGCCACAAAATTTGTTGTGGGTGCTCAGTATACAGTCTTCCCCCACTACAGTGAACCCATCGGGGGTCGGCGGCACGTTCGCTATAGCCGGCTTGTTCGCTATCGCGAATAGTGAATTTTGGCAGCTGCTGGTTCGCTGTGGCGGGGGAAGTCACAAAATTCAGCATTTGAGGGCTGCTTTGCACTGTATGCCAACAGCCACATAGTGTTGTTTACCAAAATCAGCTCAATGGGGCCAAAGGGGTGGTAGCTAGGCTGCCTCGCCGGCTGCCCTGCCGGCAGGATCTGCAGCTTGCGCTACAGCAGGCACGCCTTTTCTGCTTGGTGGCCTCTGCAGACATGGCTCAGCCCGTATTATGAGCTCTGAAGTGTTAGCGATTGCAGCAACCAGCACGTGAAGATCACTGTGATGCCGCCAACTGAATGTGGGTCATGCCAGTTTGGGTGTCACTGCGGCGCAGGTCACTGGTGACACTGTCGCTCTGGTCAGCCAGACCCTCCAGTAGAGCAAGCTGCAACTTTGTTAAGCTCAGAAATCAGGTCCATGAGAAGTGGCAGATGCTGCAGTGAAACGGCGTATGGTGCGTACGCAGGACTGGTGGCTGCCTGCATGCACGTGGTGTACACGTGGCGGGTGGGCCCCGTGCAGTCCCACCGGCGCCGACCACAGCGCGCCTGCATACAGTGAATTTAAGAGGCCTTTGGCGTTCGCTATAGCCGTAGTGAATATTCGCTGTGGCCGGGTTGATTTGTGTGGCGAATGATCGGGGTCAGCGGCGTTCGCTGTAGGCAGGGTTTTCGCTATGGCGGGGTTCGCTGTAGCGGGGGAAGACTGTACTCTGTGCAGGCTGCCGTCGCTCTGCTGCCAGCGTGTTTGGCCTTGCAACTCTGATGATCCGCCTTGTCAGGCCGCACTGGTGTGGCCCCTACAGGCCTGGGCCCCCAGCATTTTGCCTGCACTTCTTGGCGCGCTGCCACCTTGCATAAACTCAGATTGGACCAATGTGAAAACTCGCAGCTGCCAGGCCAGGAGATGGCACCCTCACGGTTGGTTGGCCCAGCCGCACCACCGCCGCCACGCACCTGCATCCCTCTGAGCCCGCCGCTTGCCTACCACTGGCCGGCTTGGCCGGCATTCACAGGCAGCCCCCTTATTGTGCTGGGGGTGGATTCACAGTAAAACCGTACTGTGCAAGGTGTGCAACGTTAGCAAGTTAGGTCCGTCATGCCAGCAGAGGTGCCCTCCTCCTCGAGGATCACAAGGCACGTGAGGATGTTGCACCACGGCCCAATCCACCCACAGGATCGAGGGCGCTCAGGTGCCGTACCTACCATATTACACACGCTGGCAATTTTTGGGCAAGAGGGGGGCGTGGATATAGACAGCGGTTGCACTTGAATGGGAGCAGCCGGCCAGGGGCGATGTCTCTGCATGCTGACACAGCAGTTGCATCATCGAGACTGGAAGCTGCCTATACACCTGCCCCACAGCAGCAGTGCATCATAATCAAATGATGGTGGTACGTAAGAACCACATTTTGAAGCCGTTTGAACCCACCACAAAACAGTTGCACCAGCTCTCCAGCGGGTTCGGACGCGTCTCGACAATGTGGTCGAGCACCGAGTTCGCCCCCCGCAAAAAGAGCTTCGACCCCGAATGGAATGTCAACTACTTCCAAAAGCTGGACGAGGTAGGCTGGCCCACGGCCGCCCCGCCCTTCGCGTACAGCCGCGCACCCAGCAGCTGCAAGAATGGAGAGCGCCCTCCGCAGCTCCTGTCCTCATGCCCAGCTTGCGCAAGACACGGGAGGACCTCGCCACAGCTCGCAGCTGCTGTCAAATGCCAGGTTTTCATTACACTCACCACTGCTAGATGGCAGCAGCACAGAGTGGACGCCGGCTGCTGCTTAAAAACTGGCGTGCGCGGGCAACGTCAAGGAAGCCACTGCCCGGCAGCCCCTCGCCCTTGCACCTCCGCACAGCCTCTGACCACACCCGCCTCCCCCTTTGCCCGCCCCATAGGCGGCGGCGCGCATCCCAAACCACTTCGAGTACTTCAGAATCTTCCATGCACCTCTGGAACTACTATCTCTGGACCTCATAAGCAAGAATCAACAATCTCACAACCAACCAACCCATCAGCATCACCTACCTCATCAGTACGAATTATCGTCATCGTCACGCACCGCACCCTCTGAAGTGCCCTGCCAGGGCAGACGGCGCGCCAGCGACGATTCTGACACCGCCCTCTCAGCCGCGCCATGCCAAGACAGTCGGCGCGGCAGCGGCTTCGACGCCGGCCCGGCCGCGGCGCCCGCGGCGCCCGGCGGCGGCGGGGATGCCGGGTTGCCGCGGCCGCCCTCCGCGTTGCATCCGGCGGCGTGGGACGCTGGCTGGTGGCATCTGACCCATGACCCGCTGGTTTGGACAGCGCGGGCCAGGAGCACGGTGAGGGGCGACAGTCGCGAAAATCCCCCGGACACCACACGTGCACGCAGCCCCTAGGGGGGCCATGCATCATGCACACCCACGGCAAGCACGATCTAGTACTGTACGGCTCGACGGCGCCCTGAAGCGCCTCCGGCGCCTCTCCCTTGCACCCCCA